AAGAACGTCTCCACTGGTCGTGGGCAGGTGCTATATTAAGGGCGGCAGGTGTCAAATTAGGACTTCCAATCCGAAGCCGGGCCACACGCTGTGCAAAACCTCTCGGTGCCAAAGTTGAACGCACCACAAAAACGACAGGTCCAGTCCGCGTTCACGTTGGCCCCGCAGTCTTTCTTGCCCGTCCGCCAGTCTGGCATAACTTGTTCTTTTGTCTGTGGTGGTCTTTCCGTTGAGCATGACAGGCAGTTCTCGCGCTTCTTGAAATTCAGCGTCTTGCAATTAGGACATCTCCAATCTCTGGGGTCATATTATGTCCCAGCGCTGGCGGGCGATTCGTCATGAAAGCAGGACTATGACATGACTCTTGCTTGAGCCGAGAATTGCAAGCCAAACAATAACAAGCATGAAACGCCACAGAACTGCAGCAACTGCAACTGCCCCGAGCTGCATCGCGCCTACCTGTCATATCAGAAAACATCAGCCACATTCCTGCGAACACGCGCGCGCTTTCTTGCACACCGCAGTCGTGATTCTTTGGACAGCCGGAGGGACCCTGAAGGCTTCAGGCTGCACCGCAGCGGAGGAGGACACAGCGGTAGCCAGGCTCCTGCCAATCCCACACAAATGAGGTTGTTCAGGCATTGTGCAAGCCACTCCGGTTTGCTTTTTGCCTTTGTGGCACACGCTGAAGGCTGCTACTCTCGCTACAATCTATCGACTGCCCTGCTCCCCCCACACTTCTCCTGGGACAGACCAGAGACAACTACTGCAGCTACTGCAACGGTTGCAACGGCACGTGTTGCACAAGTTCTGCCACCATCTTGAACCCGGAAGCACGAGGATGTGAGTTAGGCAGTATCTATCGAGATCCTGTCTCTTACAGTCGACCTTCCATTCTCCGGTGTGATTTCCTGCAGTTCTTGCCATCCAGATGTCTGGCCTATGACATCCTGCAACCATGGACAGAGGATGTTTCTTGCTTTACTGCCGCACGGAGCTAACGGCTGCCATAGATTTCATCCACTGGGCCTTCAAATCCTGGTGCTCAATTCTGCCTGCATGATATAAGGTACCTTTATTTCACTGCAAGTCGGGGCGGCAGCATATGGATACATATCACAAGATAGATAGATAGATGGATAGATAGATAGATAGATAGATAGATATATACACGCCGAAACCACGTCATGACATTTCCGTCCCACAGGAAGCAAAATGATATGCATAGGGTGCTTCGAAACGTTCAGCTCCTGCGTATCAACAACACGAATATCAACAGAATCAAAATCTTAGATCTTGCAACAGTCATTGCGATGAGGTCTGGCATCATCTTCAGAACCACTCAAATCTACTCACATCTGACTTGCGATGGGCTCTCTTCACCCCTTCTCAGCGCTGTGTGATACGTACTTCGAGCAAGTGAACACATGTGTACTGCTCGTGCTGATGAATTTTCGTGAAGACCTGCAGGTCTTCTATAGTATTCTTCATACTACAATGACCAAACCAATGAAGAGTAGCATCGGTGCTCTTGCGCTTAAGGCGACTACAGTAGCTCTTAAGACTGACGGCGAGACCAGCATCGTGCAGGCTGATCTACAACACGGACCTCTCTACCGAAGCTTCGACACCGTCCCAGCCACCCCAACCCAAACCATAACCTAGACCTAAGCATGACGAAAATCTTTTCTCTGTAAGTACACCCTAAATACTCAAGCATTCAGGCCTGGTCTCTGCTTTCACGGGCTGCGGCGCTGCGAAGGAACGTTGACGGAAATGAAGCTAAATTTACGAGGAAAGTCCTTGTTAAGACAAGGCCGGAAATCCGCAAGCTTCCCGAAAATCCGATGGTCTTCCCGAATCACGTTTCGGGGGCTGCGCCTCCGCCACCCTTCGCTTCCAATCCGAAGCCGGGCCATGCGCTGCGCACAGCCTCTCGGCGCCAAAGTCACGAAAGCAGGACTGTGACAGACACTTGCTTGGGCCGAGAATTACAAGCCAAACAAGCACAACTGCAAGTGACCCGGGCCGCGTCGTCCTTACCTGCCATGTCAGAAAACGTCAGCCACGTTCCTGCGACCACACGCGCGCTTTCTTGCACCTGCTCGCCGCAGTCGTGCTCCGAGGGTGCAGTCTCGCAGGCCAGCAGGCCATACCTCTGCCTTCTCCCTGCCAGCGCTTCTCAGCGACCCTTCAGGGCTTCAGGCTGCACCACAGCGGAGGAGGACACAGCGGTAGCGGTCAGGCTCCTGCCAATCCCACGCAAGTGAGGTTATCCAGGCTACGTCTGCAGTCTATCGGCCTCGATGGACGCACTGCTGCCGCCCACGCGCTTCTCCTAGGAGCAGACAAGCAATGCGCACACGAGGCGGCGAGGACACTTCACGCACGCGATCACAGCCACGGTCGGATCGGCTGTCAGTGTCTCAGTTCCAGAAGCAGGAGGATATGAATTGGGTGGTATCTGTCGAGATCCTGACTCATTGTAGGCGACCTTCCAATCCGGGCGTGATTTCCTGCTGACGCCATAGTTAAAAAAGGGCTGGCCTATGACATGCTGCAACCAAATTTGCAGACGGGTCTTTCTGTACTTCCTCCCAATAGCAAAACACTCCTTGCACCGCCACGCCTACCACTACTTTTATCTATATCTGTCACCCGTGTGTTGCTGTGAATGTATGTATGTGTATATATACATGAATACATGCATGCATGTATGTATGCATGCATGCATGTATGTGTGTATATGTGTGTATATATGTATATATGTATATATGTATATATGTATATATGTACATATGTATATATGTATATATGTATATATTTATATGGATATGTACATATGAAAACCTTTTTTCCCTGCTCTCTCTTTCTCTGTCTCTCTCACTGTGTAGGCACGCATAAGTTTGTATGCAGGTTCTCACAGGGATTCCCCGATTCCCCACTTCGGGTTGGCAAGCCCTACATACGTCGGCGGAGACTCGGCTTGCATGGAGCACCCCACTAAATTGGCCGTCACGCAACCTTCCGCCCACGCCCCCCCTCCCTTGTCCGCCTTCCCTCGTCTCTTCTTGCGGCGGGCGAAGCAAGACAGGCTAGCTCACATCTTGATGCCGAAGCCCGGGAATTTTGGGGTACTTTGTTGCAAAGCTTGATTCCCCATTCCCCTGCAATATGGGAGGTTGTAGTGAGAAGTGTAATACGATGTTCAGAGTAGCGTCTATAGGATAATGCTGGGAACGTGCCACCTTTCGCGTGGGATTATTGCTCAGAGCCTCATCATGAAAACAAACACTGACGTTAGAAAGCCTACCTGTTGCTTTCCGACACAATGCACTTGCTTCAAGCACGGCTGGGCCGAGGCGGACAACGCGAAGCGTTTAAAATTATTATTATTGTTACTATTAGTATTCTTATTCTTCTTATTCTTATTATTATTACTATTACTATTACTATTATTACTATTGCTGTTTGAAGCAATGGACTAATGGACTTGGTGAGTGCCAGCACACTACTAGTGTTATTACTAGTAACATTGTTGCTATTACTATCATGTCTATTAATCTTTTTGTTGCTGCTGCTGCTACGACTACTACTACTACTACTACTACTACTACTACTACTACTCCTGCTGCTGCTGCTGCTACTACAACAACAACTACTACTACTACTACTACTACTACTACTACTACTACTACTGACTCACGCCATCGAGTTGCCACGACTCTCGCCCTCACCGCCAACTCCAGGAGGAACGAGAGCTCGCAGACATCGATGAGGCCGCGGTCCTGCGCGCCGCAGTCCTTGGCCAACCTTTCGAGGGGCCCGCTAGGCAATGTGATGAGTTCGCATTGAGGTTTCTATGGTTCTAGTTCTAGGGTTGGAATCCGATTGGTCCGGACGCAGGGGCAGAAAAGATGCATGACTAGAAGCCACCTGTCGGACTCAATTCTTTATCTTTTGCTTTTTAAGTTGTGAAGATGTTGAAGCAAAGCCAGGCCGCTCAGCAACAGATGCAAAGGGTGTCTTCATCAGTCGATGGAGAAGCCGGAGCAGCAAGCAGCGAAGAACTGGTACGTTCAGCGATCCCCGAGCATGTACCCAAGCACATGGAGCCATTAGTTGACAAGGAAGGAAGCTGCCCCGTAGTGTTCCAGCTGACTTGTCGAGGCCGGCGGCTCGCAGTACACAGGCCGCAGCTTGGCGGAGACGGGGAAGCGGGCAGTGTTCCAAGTAGGGCCAAAGCCAGTGCCTTCCCAAATCGAACTTGCTGAAAAGTTCCGCCGCGGCCGAGGCCTCCTCAGAGCTCGGCTCTTGTGAAACGCAGAAAGGCGCGGCAGCATGAGCGAGGACCTCTCGAAACTCCTGGCCGCATGGAAAGGGAACCAAGAGCCTCAACTCCTCCAAACAGGCCAGGGCCAAAGGCAGGCTGACAGGGGTAGGCTGTGAGCGCCTCAGTCGCTTCCGGCCCTTTTGGTGGCCTTGGAAGCCCTGATACGCAGCCTTGAGCTGAGAGGTGCTGGCGCCTGGCAGAACGAAGAGTCCCGTCAGGTCACCTTCCTCTGGTGCTCCGGAAGAGATGGAATGAACGGTCTTGAAGACGAAAGCTGCTGCATCCAGGAGATCTTGCTCTCGCGAGCACAAGCCGGCTTCCGCGCTGGAAGGCATGTCCAGGAATATTGAAGTAAACTC